ATATATATTCGTCTCTGTGTGTGTGTCAATACCCGCATTCAAGCTTCTTTGCTTTTTATATATGCTAGATTTGCTAATTTTGCTTGTGCTAGTATTAGTAGTGGGGAGGTTAAAAGAGACAACTTTTTAGTATGTAATTGATGTCAACTCAAATTTATACGGCATCTATGCCAGATTGCTCGGGAAATGGTGATAAGTCCTAGAAACTCCAGGTTGGGCCTTACTGCTTTGACAAAGAGATTAGGATTGGGTGATCGGCCTGATAGTCCTGATGGTGAGATTATAAAATATAAGGTATAATTCTTTCGTGGAACATGAACTGGCTCAATTTAATACTTGATTTTTTTCTTTTTTACAACATATTCTCGTTTCACTTACCTGTTTACTCCTCTTGATGCTTCAGTGGGATGATCCTCATATAATTCCTGCTAATATGACAGTTGAAGTTTCTGAGCTATTTACTCGTGAATTGACAAGGGTAACTAAAATTTTCCTTTCTTTTATGCTTATATTTGGTTATTTCGGACAGGAGAAATGGTTTTGTTTCCATATTGCTAATCTTTCAATATATGACTATTTGCTTGTGGTTATGCTACACGTTCCACTTGTTAAATGCATCAGCAACTTAAAACTGTCCAAGGTGTATGCAACCAGCCACTACCCGAGTCTCCCAACACCAATAAAAAAGGAAAAGAAATGGAATCAATCCGAGCTTCTTGATTATACATGCAAGTCTTTAAAAAGTCACAGTGTCATGGGCCTCCTTCCAGTGTTCTTTGGTAATAACTTGTGGAAAACTCATCCAACTGCTTAAGAAATAAGAACTGTGGTACTTCTATTACAAACTTTACTCTGGTTTTCCTTTTCCTTTTTGTTTGTTTTCGCTTTATCGCTTACTGGTGTCGTGCATATCAAAGCTGTTGGTCCACCTTTAGTAGTATCAGCCTATTCCCATCAAAGTATTATTAACTGCTACAAAAGATTTGAATTCTGGGGATTACTACAAATCCATAAGGAAGATAGCAAGCTTATTTAGTTTGGTGATACAAGTTTGAGTTATGCATCTGTTACAAGCAGTTCTTATTCTGCTTTTTCGCAATAATCTAACTTAATTGCTATCACAGTATATTGATGAGACAGAAGAACTTGCAATGAGGGGATTGATGGCCAACAGACATATACTGGATTTAATTTCCAATGAGCTTCTTGAACACTCGAGGATAACTGGATTGGTATGATAAACCTGCAGTTATATTCTCTACTATGTTAAGAGTATATTTGGTTAGAAATCGAAGTATATTTATCTACCTGCTTTCTGCAAATCAATTCTCAATCTCCTCGCAACGATCAATATTTTCCATACCACGTGCACTTGTTTTGCCTACTTCTCCATTATTATGCATCGTATAGAGTATCTACTACATGTTATGTACCTGTTTCCCCACCAATTCAATTGTATGAGTTGTTACATGCCATCTTATTTTTGTGAATAGTTCAGGCCTTTCCTTCAAAAAGTTACTGAAATGCTTGATATATCTGAACTTTAAAAAATCTTTCCAGGAATAGCTCTCAAAATAATGAAAAAGAACATATAAAGTTAGAAACATTGTGACAAAATTTTATAGGAGACAGCAAGTGGATTGACGCGTGAAATCACACCTAAATATTTTGAAGTTTCTTTATAAGCCGGGATGGCATTCCCTAAACGAGAATACTTCGTGAGAATTAATTTTCCCTCCATCCCAAGTTATGTGGTACTCTTTCCTTTTTAGTCAGTCCCAAAAAGAAAGTCGCCTTTACTTATTAAGAAACAATTTATCTTTAGAATTCCTATTTTTCCCTTAATGAATTGATTTAAAGCCACACAAATATCTATGGATTGTTTTAGATCACAAGTTTCAAAAGTTTTTTAAACTCCGTGCCGTGTCAAGCACCGCCACATAAATTGGGACAGAGGGAGTAGATCACTATAGCACTATAAGATGTTCATGGCATGGAAAAGTAGGTCTTTAATGCAAGTACAAGGAGTCTTGACCAGGAATAGCATGTATAATGCATCGAAAAGCCTAAACAAAAAATATATGTACTAGTATGAGTACTCGAACAACTAGAAGGTATTTGATAAATTTTTGACTATGTTTTTCGTTGTGGTTAGAGTGTCTTATGATGTGATTGTTGCTTTTGGAGTTGAAATGTTAGATTAGAGGATTGAAATATCTGGTAGAAAAAGTCGGAGTTAATTTATTTCCTACACGGGACATGGAAATTTGACGGGACTTGGAAGTGCATATAGATTTGTACCACAAGTAGAGGAAAACGTATTTCATGTTACCTCATGATAAAGTCCTAGTCGACTCTTCGACACGTGGTAATTTGGGGAGACAATTTATGGATTATTTCTGGTGTTGATACAATTTGCTGAACCTGGTTTCAGCTAGAGTATTCTTCATGCTTAGAAGCTCCAGAAACAACCTATCACGAACTATTTTATTGAAAAAAAACCTATTATAAACTATATGTATGTTATATTTTGACAAAGAAATCTGGCATAGAAAATCTTAGAAAACATGTTGTAATTGGACCAGTATATGCTATAATAGAACTAGCAGATCAAAGAGCCTATGTAATACCTAATGTGGCTGACTAAATCAAATAAGAGATATATATGTGTATACACCAAATGCACACTCAAAGCCTATTTTAAAGGAATCGTTAACTTATTTGGTTCAGAAAGATATAGTTTAGAACGCTGAAAGAGATGGTTCCCTTATATCTTGCTAAAAGTAGGAGAGATCAAGTGCTAGAGTAGAGCATTTACAGTACTAAAGAGGATCTTCTTTATAGATAGCAAGAAGAGGACGTTGCAGTCTTACGGAGCAAAGGAGCTTATTGTTAAACAGATACTTAAACATACGTGCCAATTTAAATTTATTCCATCGTCGCTTCTCGAGCTCTGTCAAACAGTGGTAAATTCAAGATGGATATTAAAATTTGAAACTTGGACGGAAAATTTTAAAATGTCTAGCTGACATGCCTCTAATGATGTTTAACAGTGGTAAACACCATACTGATTAACTGTTTTGAACGAACCTCAGTTTTCATTTTGTTTCCACATTACGAAGATTCCTAATTGGATTGGCTCATTCAGGAAAATGGTAGTTTGCATTCCAAGGAGAACATCGGACATTTTAATTCTTATTCTCTGACTGCATTATTTGGGCGTACTATCTGAGTGGTAAAACCCGTATATATTCTTTAATTTTTATCGTAGTGCCTACTTGTGGACTTCTTTTCTATTTTATAGCTTCTTGTCTGGCATACTAGTCTACACTTTATTTTTTTCATCAAAATCTGGGATGTACGTTCAGTTTTTATTTTTGACTTGTCAGCATCTTTTGTTTGCATCCTTGTTTCTGTTGACATCCTCTGCTGGTTCTTCTTCAGGAAGTAGAAGACAAAATTAGAGGGTTAAGCCCTACCATGTTTGAAGATTTTGTGAAGCCTCTTCAAATAAACATGGAGGAGGTAATAGTCTCATCTTCATATATATATATATATATATATATATATATTTTCCAGTTATTATGTGAAGTCTTTATAACAACCATTTTCCTTAACAGAAATAATACTAATTTTTTACTGCCTTAGAAGCGTGAAGATAGGGATCATATAGAATGTGTACATTGCACCCCAGTTTAATGTCTGCTGTTATTTTGTTTAAAATATTCTTTTGATTTGCATAACGGAGAATTAGCCCTTTCAAAGTGGAAGACTTTACAATAGCTTAGCACATGCTGTTATTATGTACCTTATGCTGTCATCCACATTTTAATCAGGTGTCTTGGTTTTGATTCTTGTAATTATAATGCACATAACAAACTGTTTTAAATTCTCAGGAAGGACCATTGCCTCATAATGACCGTTTGAGTTATCAACCGCTGGACATTTATGCCGCACCCCTCCACAGATGTTAAAATCAGTGGTGGCAGTAGGAATTTTGTGGTCAGACTAGTATGGGAAGTCGTCAAGTAGTGAAAATTGGGGCGCAGATAATAGAGAGGGAATTACCTTTTTTCACATCAACTCCTTCGTGAAGTTCCAACGCAAGTGCCAATGGAAATACTGCTAAAATACAGATACGTTGGGTAGGCCTGTGCACTGTTTCATTTCTTGGCTCTGGTATTCATCTTTTTGTCTCTCGCCTTTTTCTTCTCTTTTTCCTTTCCCTTATATTATTTCATGCTTTATTTAGAGGAACTTTGTATAAGAAGGTTTATTAAGAGTTGTAATGATGTGCGGGTGTTGGATAATAAGTTTGTGTCTTCTTAGATTTGATTCTGTGGATCTTCCGATGTTTGTGCCTACGCATTGGAAGCATTTGGTTATTACCTGAAAATTAAGGGATTAAAGCAAGGGAGGGAACAACCCTCCTGGACAAGCGAAAAAAGAAGAAAAAAGGTTCAGGTGAAGCCAAGTGATAGCTAAGAGAAAGCACGAGGAAGAGAACAGAGAGCTCAGCAGTTGGAGAGTTTGATGATCGATCACGTTCTTTGTATAAAGCATGTTTTTTCCCCCAATGCTTTGCATAACTGATTTTAAGACTATTTATGCATCATTATATTGCAAAGCTTATATTTTGCTAACTACCATTTTCTTTATCGACTGCATAAATCGTTTACTCATTCATCAATGACGTTAATCGTTCTTTTGCATACTTCTCTGCTGATTACGTACGCCAGAAAATCACGGGATGTAACACTCAAATATATAAAAGTTTCAAGCGAAATATAGAATTTAATTATTTATTTTTATAATCTTAAATTCTACTTCTATTACGGACTAAAACCCTTGTGATTAATTTTGAGTTACTTCTCTATTTATAAATAATTGGATGTACAATTAGGGAAATATTAACAATTTTAATGTTATTAATTATTAAAAGTAAGTATAATTAAATACTAGTGAAGTCAAAAAAAAAAGAAGTAAATAAATAAAATAACAAAACAAAGGGCTTAAAGCCTTGCATTTACTAGTACGTATTCCACTTTAGAAGGAGGAAAAGGCAGAAGCCATGTTCAGAAAAGCAACAAAAAAGCAGAAGCCTTAATCGAAGAAACAAAACAAAAACGGAAAAAAGAAAAAAAAGAAAAAAGCAAAGCAAACACAAGCCTACGAAACAGAGGCAGCGCTGCTTACTCACGGAGGCCACGAAAAGATTCTAGGGTTCTTTACAAATCACTAATTCTTGAATTCAGGCATATGAAATTCCCTATTATCAATTATCCTACAATAGTAATAGGTAAAAATTGGATAGTTAATTCCCTTCCTTCTCTATATCAACAATAAATTTCATGTTTAGGTGTGAAACTTTAAAATTGATTAAAATACACTGGTTGTTGTAGAATCGGTTGTTTGACTGGTGTCAATTGGACTGGGGCCTACGTATTGGCTCGAGAAATTTTGAGGTGAGTTGATATAACCTTTTACTAAAGTGGTTTAACTCACAAAAGCACGCACACAAGGTGTTTGATGAATTGCATAAAAGGGTTAATATATACTTAATTGGAGTAGTAAGTACCTATTAGCTTAGAATTATTTTCTAGCTAAAGTTTAGATGATTATTTGGATATATGTGCATAAATTTCAGATTTTTGTGTTATTCTTATATGCTATTCTCATGTTGAAAATTTATGAAGAAGAAAGAATCTTTAGAAATATTTTCATATGTTTATTTCATTCTTATTTTCAGATTTTTGTGTTATTCATATATGCTATTTTCATGTTGAAAATTTATGAAGAAGAAAGAATCTTTAGAAATATTTTTATATGTTTATTTCATTCTTATGCCATGCTTTACATTTAAGGACACCAATATGAGCATGTGCATGGTGTTATATAAAGAAAAGATTTAGACTTGAAAGGTCACAAGAAGAAGTTTTAGCAAGAAAAGATTTTTGGGAGTATCCTTTATTCTGAGAAGGGGTCATCGTCTAGGCCTAGGGTCCTGACCAAGGCGTTGACTTCCTGAAACTACTTGTGCCAAAGTAGGGAGCACGCGAGCCGAGGGTCTCGTTGCTGAGAATTTACTTAGCCATGCTAAGGTATGATACATGAGCGCTGAGAACCATGACGCGAGTGGCACCTCGTGGATTGGGCCTATTCGATCAGGTTGGGATCGAACCCGTGCCGATCACACGGTGACTGAGACAGAATTAAGTCAGGATAGTTGGAACTCCCAAAGTATAAAGTGAAGTATTTTTTTAAAGAAAGAAAAAAAAAGGAAAAGAATTTCTTTTAGAATATTCATAACTGCTATTATGCAATTATTTAGGATTATTCTTATAAGCTTTATGTTTTACATGCATTTAGAACCTTTGCTCATAATGTATATGTTATTAAAGTTTCGCCCCCTGTTGTTGAGACTCACTGAGTACAATGGATGGTACTGACGTTCTCTTTTGGGAACCTACGTTGGTCTGCGGTACAACGTAGGAACCGAATTTGCAGGCGAGCAGGCTACGAGTTAGGACTTCCTTCGCTTCCAGTGCTATTGGTGAGCTACGCTTTTGTTCGTGGAGTATTCCTTAGAGTCATCTTTATTTAGTTATTTCTTTGTCACTTAGAGAATTGACCAGGAAATCTCATGTCCTGAGCAGTGCGTCAGTTTATCAGTAGAGGCTTCATAGACATAGTCATTGGGTTGAGATTCAGATGTTATTTTATAATAACTTAGCAGTAATTCAGTAGTTACTACGAATAAAGTTTTGGAGTTGATTTATTTAAATATTTGAATTAATCAAAAGTATTTGGTTAGAGTATTGCTTTGTTGCATATAAAGTTTGGATTTATAATAGGTTTGATAAGCAGAGATGGTTCGCTCGGTCATNGGAACTTCAATAACCACCCTCCTCATAGTGGCACTTCTACTTGAAGAACCCACCTCAGTATGATGAACGATTGAAGGTGGAATTGTCAAAGGAGGAGTGGTAGAAGAGGTAAGAACAGTCGAGGTAAGAACAGTTGAGGAAGGAACAGTAACAGCTGGGGGTGGCAACGAAGGAATCACAGGCACGAGAGTTGAAAAACAGGCTAGGGGTGTTTCATCTAAAACATGCCCTAAACTTCCACTATCAAAATCGCTAATAAAAAGCTGTTCAATGGACTCACGAGTATCACCAGGGTCAACGTCATCGTCAGGAATTACCACCGGGGCTTCAATGGACTCAGTAAGAGGAACGGAATGATGGGGAGACGCCTCTGCTTCATCATCGGAAATTATGCGTCTTCGAGCTCGAGGCCTTGTCACCAAAGAGCCCCCATCTTTCTCTTCTTCGGAATCTTCTTCTTCAATGGTTTTTCTCTTCGACGAGGAACCCAAGACTATTTCTTAAGCCTTTTCCAAGGAGATACAGGTTCCTGAAGAGGCACGGGAGGCCGCAACTGCCCCGGCAGTAACTCCTCGAGTAGCAAATTCTGATAAAAAGATGGATTGAAATTAGAGCCATAAAGAGAAACATATGCATGAAAGATTTAGAGCAATACAGAACTAATGTTCTGTTTATTCACTCCAGCAGAGGCATAGAAAACATTTAAAGCCTTACGAACAGAGTCAGCCAGAAATTGCTCACGCACCGGAAAATTCTAGGGTTCTTTACAACTCACTTATTCTTGAACTCAGGTATATGAAGTTCTCTATTGTCAATTATCCTAAAGTAGTAATAGGTAAGAACTGAATAGTTATTCCCTTCTTTCTCTATATCGACAGTAAAATTTTCCTGTTTAGGTGCAAAACTTTAAAATTAATTAAAATGCACTGGTTGTTATAGAATTCATTATTTGACTAGTGTCAGTTGGACTGGGGCTACGTATTGGCTCGAGAAGTTTTGAGGTGAGTTGGTATAACCCTTTACCAAAGTGGTTTAACTCACTAAAGCATGCATACAAGGTGTTTGATGAATTGCCTGAAAGAGTTAATATGTACTTAATTTGAGCGAGTATAGTTGCTCGTTTCTCTCTTCAATGCTTCTAACAAAAAGATGGTTAAATACTTTAGTAACAACCATTACTGGACAAGTTCCCTCTTGATTTTGCTAGCAATTGAATTATAATATAAATAAGCTTAACGAGCAAATTTGCTAGAGAGGACTAGCTCCAGCTACTTCACAAAGCATAATCTAAAGGTTTGTTGAATGCTATTAAGAAGTCTCGTGGTTAAGATCCAAAGTTATCTCTATTTTTTACCTTACCATTTACCACTTGAGATTAGAAAATATATTAACTTAGAAGTGTTCGAGCTAAAGTTTAGATGATTTATTATGATATATGTGCATAAATTTTCAGATTTTACGTTATTCTTAAATGCCATTTTCATGTTGAAAATTCATGAAGGATCAAGAATCTTTATAAATACTTTTGAATGTTTATTTCATTCTTATACCATGACTTACATTTGAGGATACCAGTATAAGTATGTATAAAAGATTTAGACTTGAAAAGTCACAAGAAGAAGTTTTAGAAAGAAAAGATTTTTGGGAGTATCCTTTATTCTGAGAAGGGGTCATCGTCCAGGCCGAGGGTCCTGACCAAGGCATTGACTTCCTGAAACTACTTGTGCCAAAGTAGGGAGCACACGAGCCGAGGGTCTCGTTGTTGAGAATTTACTTAGCCATGCTAAGGTATGAGACATGAGCACTGAGAACCATGAAGCGAGTGGCACCTCGTGGATTGGGCCTATTCGATCAGGTTGGGATCGAACCCGTGCCAATCACACGGTGACTGAGACAGAATTAAGTCAGGATAGTTGGAACTCCCAAAGTATAAAGTGAAGTATTTTTTTAAGAAAGAAAAAGAAAATAATTTCTTTTAGTATATTCATAAACTGCTATTATGCAATTATTTAGAATTATTCTTATAAGCTTTATGTTTTACATGCACTTAGAACCTTTGCTCGCAATGTATAAGTTATTAAAGTTTCGCCGCCTGTTGTTGAGACTTACTGAGTACAAAGGATGGTACTGACGTTCTTTTTTGGGAACCTACGTTGGTCTGCGGTACAACGTAGGAACCGGATTTGCAAGCGAGCAGACTACGAGTTAGGACTTCCTTCTCTTCCAGTGCTATTGGTGAGCTCCGCTTTTGTTCGTGGAGTATTCCTTAGAGTCATCTTTATTTAGTTATTTCTTTGTTACTTAGAGAACTGGCCAGGAAATCTCATGTCCTGAGAGTCCGTCAGTTTATCAGTAGAGGCTTCATAGACATAGTTGTTGGGTTAAGATTCAGATGTTTTTTATAATAACTTAGCAATATTTCATTGGTTACTATGAATAAAGTTTTGGAGTTGATTTATTTAATTGTTTAAATTAATCAAAAGTATTTGGTTAGAGCATTGCCTTGTTGCATGTAAAGTTTGGAGTTATAATAGATTTGATAAGCAGAGATGGTTCGCTCGATCATGTTTAGTGATCGAGTGTCGGTCCCAGCTTGTTCAGAAAATGGGTCGTGACAAACTTGGTATCAGAGCTTTAGGTTTATGGAGTCCTAGGGGTGTATGAAGCCGTGTTAGTAGTGTCTTGTTTATGTGTATGAAGCGCGCCATACTTATAAACAGGAGGCTACAAGCATTTAGGAAAAGTCTCATTTTTTTCAT